TAAAATTTAATTTAAAAATATATTCATTACATCACCCTTTATTTTTGCACACTGTATAATTTCCCCATGAAGTCCCCCCACCAGCTCACCTGTGCACCATCCCCACAGTCCCTGTGCTCTTCCCAGCCCTGCCCTGATCCTTCTCCCTCCTGCCCTACAGAATGTCTCTGATCTACGATTGCCTGATGATTTTGATTTTTACTTTATTATAGTTACTTCCACCCCCCCACTCTTTATTTCGTTCCTCTATGTTCCTCCTATAAGCTAAACCATTTGATATTTTTCTTTTTCTTTGTGGCTTATTTCACTGAACATAATTCCCTCTAGCTCCACCCATGCTGCAGCAAAGAGCATGATTTTATCCTTTTGATTGCCAAGTAATATTCCGTTGCATAAATACACCCCATCTTCTTGATCCACTTACCTATTTTTTGAAATTTGTGTTGCTTCCTTGGTTTACCCATTGTAAATTGTGCTGCAATACACATAGGGGTGCAGGTGTTTGTGCAACTGGGGTAGATCCTGGCAGAGGAATTGATGGATCATATGGAGCCTCCACACAGCTTCCCATAGTGCATTCCCACCAGCAGTGCAGGACAGCTCCTTTGTCTCCACATCCTCGCCAACATTCGTTGTTGCTTGTTCTTTTTATGTGCGCCATTCTCGCTGGGGTGAGGTGGTATCTCATTGTGGTTTTAATTTGCATTTCTGTGATTACAAGTGATGTTGAACATTATCTCATATGCTTTTCTTTGCAATTCTTCTTTGGAGAAGTGTCTTTTGAGCTCTTCTGCACATTTTTTTGGTTGTTTTTGACTGGGTTGTTGACCTTGTTCTTGTTCAGCCTCTTTAGCTCTCTGTAGATCTTTGTGATTAGTCCCTTAACATTAGTATTGTGTGCATCAGCAGGGTGTCTGTTGAGCTGGCGAAGGTCTCCTCTGCTGTACAGAGCTCTTCAGTTTGATATAGTCCCAGCTGTTTGTCTTTCCCTTCATTTCCTTTGCTTTAGGTGATTTCTTTTTGAAGATGAGATGAATGTCAGGTAGTGTTTGCCTATATTTTCTTCTACATATTTTATGGTTTCAGGTCTTATGTCTAATTTTTTAATTCACTTTGAGTTTTAAGCACTGTATTTTGATTGAAGGAGCTGGTGTATAACATTCTATGGGTTTCAGGTGTCCATCATTGTAAATCAGTAACGCACCGGACTATGGGCTCCTCTGGAATGAGCCCTGTCTGACCCAGGCTTGGTGCTGGGACACCCATTTCAAGGGAGGCTGACCCGAACACTCCATCAGCCTCACTTCTAGACAAGAGCCAGCCTCACCACCCCCCCCAACTAAGGCTCCTTTTCTTAAGATCCTGGTTTCTCCAGATAACAGGTCAGTTATTGACTGGCTCCTTCTCGGGTCTCTGGTCTCTTCCATTCTGCTCCAATGCTGAGCGTTCTCCTTCTCGCTCTCCAGGTGTGAGCGGTGAAGCAGGACAGGGCTTGCTTCCCGCCTGTCAGATAAGCCTGTTGCGTCTGACAAGGCTCCTCTTGCATTCTCAGGAGGAAGGGCATCCCCAGCAGGATCATAGGAGCTCATACATGAGGAGTCACCACCTGTCAGTATGCCTGGCCAAAAGGGCACGCAGACCCTTCCTGCCTCCCCTCTGCAGGCCCTCCACCTCTCCTTTTTGTCCGACCCTTTGTATAAACACCCGTGCGCTGGCCAAAGAGCAGGGCAGGTCTTTCACACACGAGTCTGCTGCCCTCCTGCTTGTTGACAAATCCAACTACTTTCCTTCCCCTCCTGCTTCCTTCCACCGGCTGAGGCGGCGTCCGGTACCAGGTGAGCTCGCTGTGCCCAGGTGTGCGGTATCATGTCCAGGTCTTGCAAGTCACAAAAGGAGTTTTGGGCCTTAAAACTGAAAATGTCTATGAGAAGCCTTCTG